TTGTTGTTGTTTGTGATATGAAGTTCTCATCCAACAGTTTACCTCCATCCTCAGTTAACAATATAGTTAAACTTTTACTTTCTGAATGGTAAGCAATTGTAAGCCCAACACTATTTAACGCGGGGCTATGGCGGCCGACCTATTCTTCGGTCCAGCTTGGTTGGACCGGCTGGTCCCCCCATGTTCCCCCTTCCTTTTTCTTTTCCATCTTCCTTTCCTCTCTCTTTCCTTTTCCCCTTACTTTCCTTTCCTTCCGCTCTTTCCTTCTGAGCACCTTCCTATTTTAAAAAGTTTTTCAAATTTTGAGTTTTGAGTACTTTTTTTCACCCTTTCCCAATCTAACTTTGAAATCCTGATTATATTTGATTCTTCTTTCTATTTTTCGTATTGCCTAAAATAATTCCTAGCCTTATTATAATTAAGGGATAATGTGCTTAGAGTTGATGGTTTTGTTTTTGAATCTGAATTCAGCATTGTTTAAGTTTTTAACATCTTGAGGGCTGTAACCGACGACGAGGGAGGTGCTCCAGCTACAATCCCATATGAGGTGGTGATTATCTTTGCCGTTTTCACTTCCCTTGCCCCACAACCATTCCGTCGCTGCGGTCATCCCCTCCTCGCTGCAGTCCCATAAAACAACTTACTGTTTCTGCTGCCACCCGCCAACTCCTCCCGCAACCTCTTCCTCCCTGCCACTGCTCCTTTTCCCCTTCCCAGAGTTTCCTTGCCGCAGCCTCCCCATAAACCCACGCCTGTCTTCACACGTACTCCTCTTCCGCCTTACAACCGTTGCTATTCCTTTTATTCCCCTCCTACAACCTTCATCTCCATCCCATCAAAAACCTGTCGCAAACCCCTATCCTACCGTTACCTAATCAAAGCCCCTACTCAGCCCTTCTCTTTCATCTCTTGCTACTGGTGGCCAACCTAACCCCCTCCAAGTGCACCATGATTTCCTCTCTTGTCCGCTCACCTCGCAGCGAGCTGCTGTCAAGTCCCTCACCACACTATCCAACCACCACCTCACACCGTCGTCCTTACCCTAGGGTGTTCGTTTATGTTTGTAGTTTTTCTTTTCTTGTTTGAAAGTGTCTGGGTTGTAACCTTTTGGCGTTTAAACAATATAAAGTAACATTTTGATTGTGATTTGGGTTTCCTGCGGAATGCAAAAAATCTATTAAAACATAGCAAGAATTTAACTAAAGAAATAACATATTAAAAATGAAAAAAAAAATCATGTATGCTAAATAGCTGGAATAACATCTTGAGCTAAGACTAGTTATTTAAAATTGAGATCGAGTACCATGGAAGATGTGACTGTCATCAAGACTCGAAGCTAATCTGGATTAAGTGGTAATAAAAGATGGCATGGAAATCCAAAGCGAGTGTGGTGGATATTTGAATATTAAGTACGATAAAATTAGAATTATATAAGAGAGATGGAGTGAGGAGCTCTTTTTGAAGACTGGGATATTGAAATTGGATTTACATGGTATGGGCATTTATGATAGAAGGTAAGATGCCCCAACATATCAGATGAAATTAATGTGAAGTGGGAAGAAAAAGATTCACTTCAATAGCATGTTTGAAGAAGTGCAAAAAGACTTGCACCAAATAGGACATAACATCGTATGCACTACTCAACTAAAAAGAATGGAGGAGGGGATTCATGAAACCAATCTAAATAGCTTGGATACAACTAATAATGATGATGTGGCATTCAATATCAATTTTAGTAATAAAAAAATGCATTTATGAAGTACAAAAGAAACTCCATTTCCTAGTTTCAAAAAATGGTCCTGAATACCAGTAAATTATATAGGCTTTGTAAGCGATCAATTGCTTCCATCAGAATGTCCACACATTTTAGGATGGATGAAGAATGGATTTGTTTACTTAACAGCAAAGGAATGAGTTTCGGAGATTGTAACGACCGCACATGCCTATGAGGGGAAGAGGGCTTCCAGAGATGCTTGGTGGGCTAGGATCTTGTCAGTGGCAGCTCTCATCATTGGGTAGCATGGTCTTGGTGGAGAGGAGGTTCTGTAAATATTGACTGCTAGAAGAGTTAGGCTTCTATAAATGCTTGCGGTTGTGGGAACTTGCCACCACCAGATTTAACTGCTACTCAGCTTGGTAATTTGGAGAACAAGCACCTGCATTTACTAGCTAGGATGGGAAATTGGCTTCTTGAATAATTTGTCATCAGAACGATCACTTAAAGGGAATAACCAGATGATATGATAACTATTTCAGAAATCAGTAGAAATGGAAGCAAGCTTTTTAATCAACTGGTTAGAGTTACAAACAAGATTCAACTGATAGGAAATTGCAACGGACACCAATCTCCCGCTAGGGCCGGATAAGAAGATCCGAGGCGACGATGGTGCCTGTAAGAGGGTTATAACAGTGGAGGGGAGGGAGCTATGAGAGGAAAAAGTGGTTGCGGTTGTGGTTAGGGAAGGTGGGGGAACCGTAGGCTGTCGACTGGAAGGCTGGACAACAGAAGGGAGTGCAGAAAAATCAGTGGCACAGCTAGGGGAAGGCACAGGTTGACTGAAACCAGGGTTTGGAAGGCTGGGGGAGTGCAGGTGGGTGGCTGGTAGGCTGGCCAGCAGGTTCTGGAAGGCAGGGCAGCAGCTTTGGAAGGGTGGCCAGCATATTTTCGGTGGCCAGCATATTTTCGGTAGTAGAGGTGGGCGACAGGGCAACTGGCAGAGAAGGGGATGGCCGTCGGCTAGGGAATGTGTAGAAGGGTTAGAAAAGATGATAAAGGAGGATACAACACCACCTTGAAGCAGGATACAACCGAAGCACCGCCCGCTGTCAGATACAACCCTATCAATGGAGAAGGAGACTCCAGGGAAAGATTTGAAACAACACAATAACCAAAACATAACCCTAACAAGAAAAAAACAACACATATATAATAGGTAATAGATAAAATAGGAAGTGAATGGTACCCTCTTTGGGCTGCAACCAAAAAGGAAGGAGGAAGAAGCGTCAATAGGGAAATAGGAGAGGTGTGCGTGGGTGTGAGTGGTACTTCCCATCCCTAGGGAGCGGGAGACAGGTAGATCCAGCCTCCTGCTGGACTGGAAAACTACTGCTTGAACCAATCGGCCGGTTCAACCATTTCCCCCAAACTCCTGTTCGGCCGGGTCACCCTTTCTCTCCTCGAGTCATCAACATGACTGGATTTTGGAAACAAGGCTATTAAGTACTTTGGGCTTACCACATGAGCAAGGAATGAGATTATGATCTTGACATTTCTAAGATTTAGATGCAATCTAGTTGCTTTTATGTCTAAATCTAGAGGCATAGAACCAATATTTAGAGACAGCTGCATACCACCAATTTTAGTTGCTTTTGAAAGTAATAACAAACCCAAAGAATTTCTATGTTTAATGAGAAAAATTTCTCTTTAGAAGATTTTGAACTTGACACTTTATTTCTGAACTCTCATCCATGACTCTATTATAATGTATCTCAACGCTTATATTTTTTGGAGATCAAGGCATCTGAAATGTAGAATTAAAATGTGATTCTCGTACTAATTTTATAAACAACTCTATGTGATATTGGAGTAATCCCAAACCACAATAGAAACAAAAATATTGTTGCTGAAATTCAATAAGGTTACAAACAAAGACTTTTAACAATTGAAAAAATAACTAACACAACATACGACACCAAACATAACAGACACCATAGGGTGATGACGACAATGGTGAACACAGGCAAGACAACAGGTGCTGTTGTTGAATGTAGGGGCGTAAACGAGCCGAGCTTAAGCAAGCCCAGGTTCAACTCTTGTTTGGCTTTGTTAAGTAAACTACTCCAAATGAGTCGCCTTTTAATTTACCACGGAATAGGATCACAAGATTCAAGAAAATCAGAACAAAAAAATTAAGAAAGCACAATCAAAGCAACCAGAAAAAACACACAGAAATTTTACGTGGAAAAACTAAAAAAAGAAGGGGGCACGGAGGGGGCCTCTCCCGCCCCATAGGGGAGCCGGGTGGTCCAGCAAGGGCTGGACTGGAACTCACTGCAGGCCATTTTCTAGCCTCCTGGTTTAGGTAGCCTCCCAAGAGCTCTGCGTCGCTATGCTCTCCTCTTCTTAAGTTCTAGATAATTATGATAGCAGAAAACTTATGCTGGTAACACATCTTTTTATCCAGTATTCCTTTCTTAATAAACTGTCATTAAATAAGAAAAGAAGGGAGCTTTTCTGGTTAAATATACATGATATGGCTAATAATCTCAAAAGGAGCCACAAAATTCTTTTAAATAGGCGTTACACAAGGCGTGTGGTTCTTGTTAATTTGCGAAGAGGCTATGGTTCAAAATTAGGATGGCTTGAATACATGAAGCCCACCTTATATGAAGTTCTTGATAAGTGATAGTTTAGTTGGTCATATTAAGTTTTATGATAATCAAAATGCTTAAAATTGAGTTGAGTTTTATATAATGATCAGTTGGTTGAAGGGTAAGCCTGACAACAACATCGTTGTAGAAAATTTTAGGCGAGGAGAGGCTTGATAGTTGTTGGCTAATTAGATTTTCATTGTCATAATTACTTTTTCGTACATGGAATATTAATATCATTAGATTGAACACTGAAAAAAGCCTGATTTTCTGAACTTAATTTGAAAAGCACAATTCTTTATATTTGATGTTTAGCAAATTCATAACATTCAATTTATGCCGGGTGCTTGCATATGTTGTAGTAAAATATTTTCATGCGTGTTCCCATGTAGCAAATTTTTTGAAGCCTCACAATGGGCAGTGTAATAAGGTATACTTTATCATGGAGTTGCCAACTTTTTGATGATTTTCTTCTTTGAATTGTGTTGGCGAAGAAGCATACTTCCTGTTAATTTTAAATTTTGTTCTGTTTCCAAGCTGTGATGCCCTCAGAGTTTTCCTAAAACCTGAAGAATTTTCCTAGTTCTCTATATGATGCTATTTCATCTTTGAATTTTTGAAGGGAGCAGTTCCTGTTTTCTTATGATACAGCTGAGGAAATGAAAGAAGCAGTTTCCAATAAAAATCATGAACTGGTCTTTCTATATGATTACAATCTTGTAGATGAGATATGGGGAGAATTAAGACCAAAGCCTCCTTGTAAGCCCATTATAGTGCATGATATCAAGTATGCTGGTGTAGATATCTCTTCAAAGCTGTCTACTTTACGATCTGAACTTGCAGAAGCAAGCTGTACTGCTGTTGTTATATCAATGCTTGATGAAGTTGCTTGGCTGTTAAACTTGGTAATTCTTAACCCTGTTGATTTTCTTTTAAGATTGATTTTTACTATTCTTGAGTGATTAATTCATTTCAAAAATTGGAAGCATGTTCTAATTGAAGGTCATTTTTCATTTTTTTTTCTTGAATTTGTTGGTGTCCATACCACTTTAAATCATTCGATTCATTTTTATGGCCCAAGCCTTTTTGCTTTTCTGTATGTATATTTGAAATGTTTTGAACCAAACAAAACATGATTCATAGCAAAGTTTGGAAAGTTGGACTAGATATTGAACTGAAAGAGTGAGAGGTTTAAAATTCAATGATTTAACCTAGTTTGAATCAGGTGTTAACTGACATAATAAATATTAATATTTAGTTTAATGCGATTTAAATGATAAAATAATGATATAAAATAATATTTTCATGAATTCAATATATAATATTCTAATTCATTGTACTTCACCATTAAATATTTTGAATACGATTCTTAAAAAAGTGGGACATAATTTGTTTAACCATTTTTTTTATTTTTAATCTAAATATTTTATTTCTATCTATCATATAAAAATAAAAAAGCCAAAAAGTGATTTATATTATAATTGATTGGTTCATTATATATCAGACTTATTCACCTTTCACTGGTTCAACGACCAATTCTGTGCAAAAGTGATTTTGAACTTGGATCAATATGCTGGAAGCTTGGTTCTCTCTTGAACCGATTAGATTGGCAAGTTCGTTCCAATTTTTAAAACCATGGTTCGAAGTTATTTTTTATAGAAGTCTACAAACTCCTTAGTTATGATTTATGAGTTTGTAATTTGGGTATCATTTAGTGTAACTTGTGGCTGTCTTTCGTTGCCTTCAAAGTTAATTATCAGTTGTTTAAGTTTCATTTATTATTAATTGCTATTTTGGTATTGTTATATTTATTTATGGGAGTGTTCTTTCTTTCAATACTTATACTGCTGCCCAGGGTGTTCTAATTTAGTTAGTTTAAGATGGATTAAATGGTGTTCTTTTCGGCACCAACTTTACGGAACAATTCTTTGTTCTAGAGTATCATTTGATCTTCCTTCTCTAAAGCTCAAGCTTCCATTTAAGGAACTCATTCATTTAAGTTTCTCAATCTCTTTCTTTTATTTATTGTTTCAATTCTTCTCATATACCATATTCTTATATTCATCATTATCCAAATATTTTTTTGCTTCCCACTCATCGTCATTCTAGTATCATAACAACAATTTTCCATCCAAATTTTTTTTGTGGCATGTTTCATCCTTATAAAATTTTATTGCACGCTGAAAATCATTTCTAGTTCTTATTGGTAGCCTCTCATAGCTATTACAACTGCCATTCATATGACAGAGCTATCCTTTAGCATCTCCCAATGTCGGCTCTATGGATGCAAGCTTCTAAATGCCCAAATCTCTCGCCTTTGCTCCATTAAAAGTAATCCATTTTGACACTAATAAGTCCACCATAACCATGCAACAACAAGCCTTTATCCCACTAAGTGTGGTCGGTTACATGAATCCCTTTTCTCTATTGCGTTTTATCGAGTGTCATATTTTCATTTAATTCTAATAGATTTAGTTTATTTTTTATGCAATATGCCCAAGGCTTTTTAGCTCTACTTGTCACACTCTAATTAACCCTCTAGTAGGGTCAATCATGGTGCGACAATGACTGACAATTTGGTCAGATTAACTCTCATTAACATTTGTTCAAACTTTTATAATCAGAACCCAGTGGATGATGAATTAGTTTAACTGGATCGCCGCAACATACGTGATACATTGCTTTTCTTAAATTAGTCATATTCATACTCAGAAGCGTGGAAAGTCATAACTTCAAAGCATAAAAACTATATAGAACTCTAAAATTCAATTTTTAAAATTACATATCCAAAACATATGTACAAGCTCCCAAAACTATCGCGCAAAAGTTGTACAATGACACACTTAAGTACTCGCTCCGGTGCTCGTTGCCCCTACCTGGAAGTCAACAAAGAATGAGCAACGAGCTTAGAGAAATAATCAGGGCTAACATAAGATTTTATACATGAATAAGAAATAACGTGCTATTATGTTATGATTTGTGTGTAGACATGTATAGTTCATAGAAGCATCCACGTTTTTTCTCTTTCATGTTTAAATCTTCTGTTAGTTCTGATTATTTTTCTAAATTTGTTGTTGCTCACTCTTCATTATTGTCTTCCGGGTAGAGGCAAAGAGCACTGGAGCAAGTAGCGAGGTGTATCTTTGTGTAGCTTTTACATGATAGTTTTGGAAGATTTGTACACATGTTTTGATTACGTATTTTTTATTTTATATTGGATTTAACAACTTTGTATAGTTTTCATATTTTGGTTGATATGATTTCTATGCTTCAAAATATTTATTTAAAATGCTATGTATCAAGTATGTTGCGGCTATCGATTTAGACTGATTTATCACCCACTGGGTCCTGATTATAAAAGTCAAGGTGCGTGTTGGTGAGAGTTAGTCTGATCAAATTGTCAGCCTTTGTCGCACCACGATTGACCCTGCCAGGGGGGTTAGTTGGGGTGTGACACTAACTCTGCCTTTCTTAACATTAGTCGAATCTAAAAAGGATCACTAGATGGTCGATGTATAATGTGACCAAACCATTTAAGTCGACTTTCTCTAATTTTGTCTGCCACTAGAGCTTCACCAACCCTATCACGGATATATTCATTTCACATAGTATCTCTAAGTGTCAAGCCCCTCTTCCACCAAAGCATTCTCATCTCAACTTCACTTAACTCAGTTTTATGCTTCTCTTTTGAAGACCAACATTTTGCTCCATTGAGCATTGCAGGTCTCACCACCATCTTCTAAAATTTTTCTTTCAGTTTAAGCGGTACTTGTGTATCATATAATCGGCATGATGCATTTCTCCACTTCAGCCAACCAACTTAAATTCTACTACTAACATCCCCATCTATATCACCATCACTTTGAACAATCACTTTGAACAATAGACTCGATAGACTCGATATATCTAAAATGCTCACTTCTTTTAATGATTTGATCACCCCCAAAGTTGCAACTCTGCCATTAGAGATACCACTACTAAAATTGCATTCCATGTATTCAGTTTTAGTTCTTATCAAATAAAGGCCTTATAAAGGCCTTTAGATTCAAATAAAGGCCTTTAGATTCCAATGTAGACCTCCATAGTTCAAGTTTTTCCTGAACTCTTTCTCTAATCTTATCTAGAAGAAGGATATTATCAAAGAAAAACATACACCAAAGTAAATCCTCTTGTAAATGTCTAGTAAGAGCCTCCATAACTAAAGCAAAAAGATATGGGCTTAAAGCCGTTCCTTGATGTAATCCAACTGAAATTGGAAAATACCAATCCTCTTTCTGTTCGAGCACAAGTAACAGCTCTAGTATACATATCTTTAACTACTTTAATATAAGTCATATCAACACCTTTCTTCTCTGGAACTCTCCAAAGGATTTCTCTTAGAACCTTATGGTAAGCTTTTTCTAAATCAAGAAAAAAATGATATGTAGATCCTCCTTATTCTTTCTATACTTCTCCATCATACTATTCAATAAATATATAGCTTCCATAGTATACTTGTCGGATATAAATCCAAACTGATTATGAGAAATCTTGTTTGATTTGATTCTTTGTTGACAACCTATACTCTTCTCTCATTTTGCATTGACATTAGTATTCACATCATTTGACTCCTTGCATCTTTGCATGCTATCACACCCCTGTAATTAACGTCATTAAAACTGTATTTCTCAACATCTGCACACTAACTTTTCCCTTACTCTTGTTTGTACTTCCCATTTCTTTTGCACACTGTTGTCCATGTGCATCAATTGCTTTACTGTGCTTACTAATCTCAATTGCTTTACTGTGCTTACTAATCTCATAATATTAATATTTGTCGTGCGTGTCATGTCTCATTTTGCATTGCAACGCTTTTAGTGACGGAATGTGAACCTTTTCAGTTGGAACCAAGCGAGGGGAGTTGAACCGACATAACTGATTCGTTATAGTGTCCGTTCAGTCTTTTACTCCCCCAAATGAAATCGCCATGGGGCTCTATTTTCTATGCTTAGGAATAAGATTTAGAATTATTCTGGTTTTCATAGCATATTTATTTGGCTTAAGGCTTGTTATTGGACTTTTAGCTTGGTTTTATGTTATTGGAAATTATTTTCTTTGTTTTCCTTTCTCTTTTGAAGTGTTGCATCCATCTCTCTCATTGTGGATGGTGGATTCGCCTCGACATTCATTTATGCCATTCCTTCTTGTTGCCAACCATATTTTCTTCACTGCTTCCTTTAAATAGCCTCTTAACATGGCCAAACAACTTTATTTTTAGGTTTTTTTTCTTCTTCATTAACATCTTACAAACATCCCATCCCCCTTCATTTATTCCCATACATTATATAGAAAAATTTAGATTAGTGTTATTTGGTATTAGGGCCATAAAATTCTAACTCTTTGAAATTTAATACTTCGTCACACCCCAGATCCAGAAGACGGTACATCTCGACGATGTAGGGCGCGATGAAAGGAATTCAAATTTTTTTGTATTTGCAGAAGAAAATATTGGATACAAACGATAACAAAGGAAGTAATTAAACATAAATTTTATTTCATTTTATGAACTAGAGTTTAACAATCGATATAACTGAAATATATAAAGAAATAACTAAAAAAAAATTGAAGTGACAATAGATAGCTACCCAAAAAAAATATAATAACTAATGAAGAAACTGAAAATACCTAAAAGTAAATCTAAGCTATAAAGTCAACTCCCGTGAAGACGGTTCTTCAAGTGATCAAGTGAAATTTTATAAACAAAAATAGCAATGAGTGAGTTTGACGAATCAAATTAAGTAAATAATTTTTATTTATTAAATTATAAATAACGAGGAATTGTGACATGTAATATGACCGACAAAATGGGATAACATTTTATGCATGCTAACAAAATATGTAAATGAGTTCAAGTCTTTATGATTAT